ACCCCTATGGTGAGAGGTGAGAACTTCGAAGAAAGTACTGACAGCACACTTGGTGCTCTTCTGGGACTGACTCTCGTTCTTTGAGGGTCTTGGCTGTCCTTGAATCCCACAGTAACCCAGTGTCCTTCCAGGAAACCCTCTTCTGTGCTCAAGCTACCTCAAGTGGGTTTCTGTCACATGCCACTTCAGTTGCTTGAGATCTTCCCCTAGATTCACAACCCCACCAAGAGTCACTTGCGAACATAAGATGTGGAAATCACCCTTGGGCCCTTCCTCTCCAACAAGTCAAGCAAACCACCCCACCAAGATCCCAGAGGACCACACGACTGGCACCTGTCAACACAGAGGGGTCACCATCTTTCCCACTTTTTTGTTCTTCTTTCTAAACTAATGCCCATCACAAAATGGTACCCCCATGTCTCCTTGACTCAAGTTGTTAGAGGTCTTTGATGCTGAATTGAGGCTCAGTGGCTTTGTGCAGCTGCTAAATGGGTGTGGCAGGAACAAATGAGAAGCTGGAACTCCCCAACCCTGGCGCTTGGCGTCTAGCTCAAGGAGACTCCAATGAAAACAGCTGGTAAGAAGACATTGGTGTGAGTTCAAGACCCATCAGTTCTATGGCAGCCACCTCGAGAGACAGGAAAGAGAAACTTTGATCTTTGCTGTGGGTGATTAAACTTTCATGGCCATCTGCAAACCCCACCATTCTGCAGATGTGTGTGGTCCTCGCATCAGCCCACCTTGGTTCTGAGAGAGCGAGCAGACAAGAGGATGGAACCTCTCCAGGCCCAAGCGTTCCTTTTTCCAACCTGGGCTTTATTATGACCAGACGGCCTTTTCCTTGGTCTCAAAGTCTCCATGACTTAACTCCTGCCTGGGTGACACATAGGCTCCTTTGCTGGGATTCCCACAGATGTATGTGACAAGTCCCTTCCCGAGAGGACCCTTGGGTGCCTCTCAGTTTTTTCCCATCCAGGACCTCCCAGGAGTCCACATTGCTCATGACATTTTATTCAAATGCTGACTATTTTATTCAAATTGAAATGCAATTTTTTGGAAATCAAAGTCTAAGATTGCACAATGATGGAAAAGTTGATGGAAATCAAACCTCTCCCTCTGTACTCTATTGACCCTAATAACAGTAATATTAACTAATACTTGCTAAGCGCCAGACCTGTCTGACTCGCTTCCGTATATTAACCATTTAATGCTCATGGCAGCCTTGGCAGAGAAAGATGCTGTTATGATCACCCCATGTTACAGACGGGAAACTGAACAAAGGCCAGGCCTGGAGGTGGAGGAGCCAGGATTTGAACTCAGCCCTGCTGGTTCCGGAAAGCTACAGACCTGGGCTCAAACTGCCCCTTGGGTGAGCCAGCCTGGGAGGCGATTGCAGCTCAGAGAGGTCAGGTGACGTGAGCAAAGACACAGAGCCGGTGGAGCCAGGATTCAAACTCGTCCATCTAGACCCTCCTTCCCCTAAGAAGGGTCAGTTATCTTTCACTGAATGTCTGCTTGGTGCCAGGCACTGTTTATGTGCTTTCACATATTGTGTCTGTTCTTTTAATTAATTGATTTGGCCACACCTCCTGGCCTTTGGGATCTTTGTTCCCCAACCAAGGATCAAACTGGGACCTAACGTAGTGAGAGCAGAGTCTTAATCCCTGGACCACCAGGGAATTCCCTGTCATATCTGTTTTAAAACGTGGGGAGGATTGAAAACAAGCCTGCAGATTCTCTGATCTGTACCTGTTGGAAAGTGTGGTCTGTGCCCTCTCTTCTGTGCTTTGACCAAGGGTGCGGGAGCAGTGACGTTCTGTGACTTCCACCGCCAGGCCATCAAAGGTCCTGCATCTTTTGCCTAGTTCTCTTGGGAGGCTTGCTCTGGGGGAAGTAAAAAGTCTGACTGCATGGAAAGGCCGCATGGAGCTCCTACCACAAGAATGACTCAGCTTGGCTATCCAGCCAGGTGGGACCTTCCAGTGTCTGCAGCCCAGCCAGCATCTGACTGCAGGCACTTGATGAGGCAAGGAAGAACCATCCAGCAGAGCCCATACCACATTCCTGACCTGCAAAACCATGAGCACGGTGATGTTTCTTTCTTTTTTCTTTATGTTGAACTTTTTTTAAAAACTTTTAATTCTGTATTGGAGCATAGCTGATTAACAATGTTGTGATAGTTTCAGATGAATAATGAAGGGACTCAGGCATACATATACAAGTATACATTTTCCTCCAAGCTCCCCTCACATTCAGACTGCCACATAACATTAAGCAGAGTTCCGTGTGCTGTATAGTAGGTCCTTGTTGGTTATCCATTTTAAATATAGCAGTGTGTACATGTCAGCCACAAACTCCCTAAGTATCCCTTCTCTCCATCCTTCCCCCTGGCAATCATAAGCTTGTTCTCTTAAGTGTGTGAGTCTGTTTTTGTTTTGTAAGTTCATTTGTATCAAGGAAAATGGTTGTTTTAAGCCAGCACCTTTTGGGATGGCTTGTTACAGAGCAGAAGTGACCCTAACATCCTGTTCGAGAAATGTTAGCCCCACTGAGATGTTAAATGAAGTTGCTGAGAAATGTCTAGTGGGCTCACACTGTGGCGCATCCAGCTCCCTGTTCCCCTCAGGCCACTTGGTTTAGGGGCCAAGGTCTTGGGCATGAGTGCTTGCCGGAAGTCAGCAGGCAGCTCTGGGCAGACAAGAAGCAGGTGCACAGATGCAGAGGAGCCCACAGAGGGAGAGGAAAGGAGAAGCAGGGAGTGGAGGAGGTGGGTGTTGGCAGTTCCATGGTGCAGGGGGCGGGGCAGTGGCAGCCAGTCTGGACAGGAGTTGGCACCTCGGCTTGGGGGTGACATTGTAGAGAGGTGCCCTCAGGTTGCAGGTCTGCCAACGGCACCCCTAGAACACCTGAGCTGGGGATGGTGTCCCCAGAGCCATCCAGAACTAGCGAGGAGCCCACAGAGCAGCTGCTGAAGGAGGGGGAGGCCCGAATCAGCCAAACTGTAGATGTTTCGTTGTTGACCACCCCCATCCGCACCCCTACCCGAATGCTGGGCCCGTGAGAAATCAGTCTGAGCCACTTCTCTTCCCCTCTGCTGAGGCAGGGGCCGCTTCATCCCACTCCCCCTGAGCCCCAGGGTTAATGGTGCACAAGGCGGCAGCAGGTGATGGTGCGAGCATGAGTGGAAATCCCAGTTAACTTGTGGTAGGTGGGAGCGGGCCTGCGAGCAGGGAACCAGCGTGGGAGGGGAGTAGTGAGGCCTTTAGAAAGCTGCCCTGTGTTCCCGAGGCTCAGATGCAGTGTCGCTGTTCAACCAAAGTTTAATTGAAATTGTAAATGTAAAATAAAATTTCTCCTCCAGTGAAAAAGCAAACAAAAGAACAAATCCTAGTACCTCCACTGGGGAGCTGTTCAACCTTGGGAAAGCTACTTATAGTCTCTGTACTTACTTTCTTGATGGTGGTAGCACCAGCTTCAGAGGGCTGTTGGGAGCAGGGGGGTTTGCCAGGATGATGGATATGAGGCTGGGTACACTGAGAGGCATCTGTCAGAAATATAGCTCTCTCCTCCCCTTGGATCTGCCCTTTGTCACACCAAGGATGCTGGTTATGAAGCAGTCTGTTTTGCTTACCACTAAATGCCCAGTGCTTGGGACACAGCTTGACACATGGTAGGGGCTTAATAAGTATTGAATGAATAAGTGTTGAGCTGAGAATGATGCTTCAAAAACTGAGAAAAGGAATAAAAGTAAAAGATGAAAATAAAATGAGTTAAAAAATAACTTTTTTTTTTAATCGCATTTGAGCTGCACCTAAATCTTCAAGAGTTTCCAGCTTTCTGAATCCTAGTCACACATGTCAATCACTGAAGTTCTTCCCTTATATTTACCCCACCCTACCAGAAACAGCCAAGTGCTCTGAACCACGGACACTCCAGATTCAGATCCCAGTCCCAGAGTGGCGTGTCTGTGCCTGCTCACTTCTGTATAGTGCAGGGGCGGGTGCAGAGTGACTGGATGGGGCTGTTGGGGGAAAGTTGATACTGAGTGATTCGGTGTCTTCACGCAGGAGTAAGCAGCGTGGTGAGGACAGGCTCCTTTGGGCACCAGCTCCGCCTGCACACAGTAGATCTACATTAAGAGTGGGGAGCACCAGGGAGTCCTTTAGCTCCTGTGGCCTTGCTTTCTTCCCCTGCTGACCAGGGTCTTGGCCACATCTCTCAAAGGTGATTTCTTCTGGCTCTAAATTCACTGAAGTGTTTACCTGCACTGCTAGCTAGGGACTTGGGGCACTCTCTTCTGCAAGCCTCAGTTGCGTGATCTGTGAATGGGATCATTTCCATCTCAATGGATTCCTGTGAATGTATACTGAAATAATGACGATTAAGGATTAGCCTGGGCCTCAGCTTTACTGCATTCATCCAGTAACATCTTCCTGTCTTCATTTGCACATTGGGAACGTGTGTGTCTATGTGTATATGTGTGTCTGGATGGCAAGAGTGAAGTTTTCTATCCAGATGTAGAGGATGGGGATAAATTTAGCAAGTGTATTCTACACCCTAGTTGATGGGACCTACACCAGTCCCCAGGAGGTAGCTTCTTTTTTCCCATTTTCCAGTTGAGGCGCAGAGAAGTGGAATTTGGTAAATTTGCAAACCCCTGGTGGAAAGTGCTTGGCACCGCGCTGGGTGCACCGTTAAGTTCTCAATGGAAACGCTATTTTTATGGTCATGATGAGGAAACTGAGCGTGTCCTCCTTTTCTCAAGCCGAGTTCTTAGGACGCGGGTGGTCCCGCCCTCCCTGCGACGGCCCCGACACGAGGCGCCAGCGCCTCCCCTCCCGGAGTCTGCCAGGCTCTTAGGTGGGGCGAGGCCGGGAGGGGCGGTAGGGGAGGGCCTGGAGGGGCGGTGCCACGGCGGCGCGACCCTATTAGGGCCGCCGGGGGCGTGGCCCCTGGGTCCGGGCAGCCTACAAAAGGCTGCGCGTAAGGTCCTCCGACCCACTGCATCCCTCGGCGGCAGAGAGTGCCTTTTCCGCGACCTGCCGGCTGTGTCCGCTGTGCTTGTGCTGCTGTCACCGCCACTCCACGCAGGAGACGCCGGCGAGGAGGTGGTTGAGCCCTGCGGAGGGAGGTGAGTGTGCCTTAGATTCCTCTTTCTGCACCGTGCTCTCCACCCCCTCAATCTCCTAGGAGCTGGAATAACCAGAGCAGATGTCATCTCTTAGGGTTTACTGTGTGCAAGCAAGTTAGCTGTGCACGCCTCCTGCATTTTAGAGCCATGCTCGGCGGCATGCCCTTACGCAGATGGAGAAACAGTCTCAGCGAGGGCAAGTTGTCTGAGACCTCACGTACAAGAAGCTAGGGGGCCTGGGACTCAAAGCCGGTCTGACCACAGAATCGTGCTCCCTGAGGCTGTGTGTACTCTTGCCTTCCCTGTATAGTTCGCCAGCATCTATTGCATCCCTGTGTACACCGTGGGCGTCAATAAATGGAGAGCATGTGGCAGGAGTTTGAATGTGTTCTGCCCACGTGTGGAGGCTGAGGTGATCCTAGCGGCGTGTGTATTCTGTTGGGCAGTTTACAGAGCCACGCCCCTTTATGGTAGTGTTTGCGACCAACCTTCCAGGGAGTCTTCCTCTTCCCGTGTTTCAGAGGCAGGCACCGAGGGTCAGGGAGGTGAAGTGTCCAGGCAGAATGGAGGCTGGGACCCAGTTATGTCTGCCTTCAAAGCCCCATAAGGCTGTGGATGTGTCCGGGCATGGCACACGTCCAGTTCCTACAGGTTTGGGAAGAGTTCCTGGGTTTCTTCAGCCAGAGTAGACATCTGTATAAACTTCTGGTGGGGGGAACCGCTAGCAGCTGAGGGCTCAGCTCTGGGGTCTGGGAGATCTGTGACCCCCAGTGGAAGAGCCAAGGCCAGCCCCCTGAGCCGTAGAGACTCAGAGCCTCCCTCAAAAGGGCTGGGCTGGTGGACGAGCCAGCTGGCTAATGCCAGCTCATCGAAGTCCAGTTTGAATTGGGTGTCTGTTAGCTGGAAGGTGAGTTACTGCTCTGGTCATGGGAAGCATCTGGAAGTTGACAGATGCTCAGCTCACCTTCCAACCAAGAGTGGGCTTGTGAGTTTCCACTTTGAGCCTTTGGGCTCGTTGCCCTGGCAGATTAGGGTGAGCCTGCCTTCCCCAGAAGGGTGAGGGCATCTAGGGCTAGAACCTGACAGATGAGAGGCCAGGATGTGAAGGACAGGATGAAAGGCATGCCCCCTTCTCCAAAAAGACCCAGTGGGGAACTCTTGGGCCTATTGTTTTGTGCACTTGATGGTTGTGTGTGATGCTGTCACCTCAGGTCTATCTGTCTGCACTTAACCTTCACACTTAAGGGCTGAGTCCTGCCTCCTTTAAGACACTTCTCTGTCCAATAGCTAACTCCACCTCTGAACCTGACCTTCAAACCTGAGGGATCGTTTTGTTTGAGAGGGCCTCCAGGTAAAACACAGTTAGCAGAGTTGGGCCCAGCCCGTCCCTGACGATGTAGTCAGGGAAGAGAATGAAGAGAGTGATCTTGATTTTTACAGTCTCTCAAAAAATAGGAGTAGAAATAGTAATGATCGCGTTTGTAATTCTATCAGTAGCTGACATTCATCTGGCACTTACTCTGGGTCAGACATGCTTGGGGTTTTACATGGATGACCCATCCCACTGACTTCTTTGTGAGCTGGACTGTCCTCCTTTTTACAAGGAGGAAATTGAGGCTCTGAGTGATGAAGGCATGTACCCAGCATGACATGGGCAGGGTCGGGGAGAGCTGCCATCCTAGCCGGGTCCTCCCTCAGATCCTGGAAAAAGATGCCGGTTCGATGACTGGCCACATGACTGTCAGCTCAGAGCTTGCTTCTGCGCAAGGCTTCTGCCGTGTGGGGTCTGAATTCCCCGGCTCTGACTAGGAGTGGGGCTGGAGAGGGGACAGTGACATGGGGACTTGGGATCCACTCTGCCGACAGGCAACCTGCATCAGTATGCAGGGGCCCTGCTGGGGAACCCAGAGCAATGCCAGCTGCTCCCACAGCCCTGCTTCTGGACTGCCAAGGAGAGTTGGCTGGACGGGGAGGGGCTGGGGCCTCAGGAGCGGAGCATGGGCCTCTGAAGACCCCTGCACTTCATCCCTCACTCAGCGACCCCACATTGGATACCTGGGTTTTTCTGTAGGTTGCATTTGAAAACCGGCTCTTAAAGGCAGGACCTCTGAATGCTGACCTCTTTGGCCTCGTGGGAGCTGGAACATTTCTTTTCTCTGTCACCAGAGTAATTTACTATGTATGGGAGGTGCCTCTGTGTCTGCTTACTCCCGACCTAGGAAGCCTTTCTCCCCTCCTTTTTTTGCAGACTCACTGGTTTTTGATCAGTCCCAGATGTGCAAACCCAGCATCACTCAAAGGGGCTGATGGCTTGTCAAGAAAGGAAAATACAACACAGGCGTCATTTCATTTCGTCTTCAGTTCACTGAGCTGATTACACCAGGGATCTGGAGCCCCTTGTAAAGTCCTAAGGGGAGCACACTCTGTTCTGGAACGGGGAGGGTCAGGCTGCTCTGGGTAGTGGTTGGTAGGACCACTTATGCTCTTTTTTTTTCCCCCTTGGAAAAAAATGATTTTAGTGTTATAAAATCCTAATAACATGAGATTTATCATTTTAAAGTACACAGTTTCGTGGCATCTAGTACATTAGCAGTGTTGTGAAACTATCAACACTGTCTAATTCCAGGAAATTTTCATCACTCCAAAAGGAAACCTTACAACCAGTATTAACAGTCACTCCCCATTCTGTCCTCCTCAGCCCCTGGCAACTGCTCATCTGCTTTTTGTCTCTCTGGATTTGCTTAATTCTAGACGTTTTGTGTAAAAGAAATCATCTGGTATGTGACTTTCTGTGTCTGGCATCTCTCACTGAGCATAACATGGTCAAGGTTCATTCATGTTGGAGCCTGTGTCACTGCTGCACACTTTTTTGTGGTCGAATACTCTTCCATGGTATGGGCAGAACAGACCATCCTTCGCTGATCCTCTCATCCACTGCGGGAAGTTTGGGCCATTTCCCCCTTTTGGCTGTTGCGCATGATGCTGCTGTTGACATCTGTGTACACTTTTTTTTTTTACACCCATTTTCAGTTGTTTTGGTTCTACCCCTATGAGTAGAATAGGTGGATCCCATGGTAACCTTATTTTTACCTAATTAAGGATCATGTGTCCCTTTTTCTTGACTTTTGTCTTGAAGAGGCATCAACTGAGATCATCTCCTAACAGAAGGAATCAAGGCCCTCTGCCATGAGCATAGAGAATGGGGCGTCTGGGTGTTTTGGGGGAAGTGTTCACAGTATTTCCCCACCCCTCACCCCGGAGAGCAGCTGGCAGAGATTCCTGTCAGAGATGTTGTCCTGGGGAACATCTTGTACCCCAGGCTGTGCATTTGTGGGTACTTGGTGATAGACAACCCCCCCCACCCCAAGATTGTGGGGACAGACAGTTTCTCGTGGTCCAGCCCCAGGGAAATTTATCTTCTCTGATTGCCCCAAGTGCTGCGTCAGCTTAGGAAAAAACCACAAATTCAGGGGAAAAAAGAAAAGTCCTAATGAGGATTATGCAACTTTTGGACCATCATTTTAAAAAAATATTATAAATTATGAAATCCCACATTTTCAGTCCAAGTTTCTGGATCATTTCCTATTGTGAGTGCAGAATGGTAAAATCCTGGAAGGAAAAAGAATCCACCTTTCATTTTGTTTGTAGTCAAGTGGTCCCAGAATGGACCCTCCCTGGCGTTCTTTTGGATTGAAAATTCCTGGATCTCTCTAGAACTAGGGACTGGCATCCAGCTGGCAACTGCTGCAGCTGATTTGATAAGGTCCTAGAAGTTCTTTTGCTGGTGGCTCAGTGGTAAAAGGAGACGCAGGAGACTTGGGTTCGATCCCTGTGTTGAGAAGATTTCCTTGAAGAGAGCATGGCAACCCACTCCAATATTCTTGCCTGGAGGATCCCATGGACAGAGGAGCCTGGTGGGCTACAGTCCATGGGGTCGCAAAGAGTCAGACATGACTAAAGTGACTTAGCATGCACACACAGAAGTCCTTTTAGAGCAAAGAGGTGGTGTTCCTGGCAGGGAAGGTGACAGTGGGTGGGTGGGACATTGGGGGGGTACGCTGGGAGAGGGACCATGTTTGTGCAGAGGTCTGGAGGAGGGGTCCCCTGGTACCCTGAGAGTGACAGGAAGCTCAGGTGTCTGAGGTCTAGGGGTCTAAGGGTCAGTCTCAGGGTGGAGGAGCCTGCCCATTGATGGGGTCAGCTGTGCTGAGTTTGAATTTCCTGCTGTGAGCTGCGGGGCACAGGGGAGTCACGGTGTGGCCTTCATACCTGAGAGCAGGTCACGGTGGGATGATCGGTGTCCCCTGCAGTGTATGAAGCCCATCTGGGCCTGTCCTCAAGGTGATTGAACCTGTGTGCTGACCCAGCAGCAACCCACCATTTACAAAACTGACCTCCCTTTACAACAAAGACAGAGCGCCCTCTACAATGAAACCTCTGGTCCCGGCTCTGCTCCATTTTCATCGAAGTTCATTTCACTCCTGCCTTCTGTTCACAGCAGAAGCGATCAGGTTCTCTGCACATGCTGATTATAGAAGGTCCCTCCTCCCCACTTTTTTTTTTTTTTTTTAATTTTGGCTGCCCTGCACAGCAAGTGGGCTTAGTTCTCAACCAGGGGTCAATGTGTCCCCAGCATTGGAAGTGCAGAGTCTCAACCACTGCACCACCGGGAAGTTCTGAAGGTTCCCTTTTTAATATAAATTTCTTTGAACTCCCAAAGCGAACCAACAAATAAAAGTAAGAAATATGAACTAGAACAGGGAGATGGTAGGAAGGTGGGCAGAGCTTGGGGAAGCGGGTGTGCCAAGGGCTGGAGTTTGGGAAACACCAGACTAAGGTATAGCATGGGGAGATTTGAGAGGCTGGTACCACCTAGAGCAGCGGTTCTCAAAGTGAGGTCCCAGGGCCAGCAGTGGCACCCAGGGGAGCTGTCAGAATGCCAATTCTCAGCTCCACTGCAGACCTCCAAAAGCTGTGGGGGTGGGGCCAGCAATCTGTGC